TGAAAAATATTGACTTTAGAAAAAGAATTAACAAAAAAAAAAAAAAATCTATTGCTCTTATTGGAAAAAATTTATTTTCTTTTAAGTAAAATCTAAATATCAAATCTTGTAAATAAAAAAACTAAACACTGAAAAAGTTTTTCTTTTGTGAGATTTAACTCAGCTTAATATTGAAATCATAACGTGACGTTACTTTGGATGAAAGGATTAGTAAAAAAAACTCAGAAAAAAAATTAAAAAAATCCCATTAAAAATGAAAAAACATAAATAAGAAGAATAATTGAGAGAGATTAAAGTTACCACGGGGAGTTCTTTGCAGAAGATAAAATATCTGAATCTTGCAAACCAATCAAGGAGAAAATGTTCTCCACTTATGTGACAGTGAATGTGTAAAGACATCATCCCCTTAACCTTCTTCCATTCTGCCACCACCTCGTCTCTGTATAATTTGTTGTACCACCCCTGCAACTGTAACCAAACCCAACTTTCACTTCTTCCTCAGTTTCCACATAAAAATTACTAGAATCTAACACATGATAATAGAAAAAAGAGCAAGACCACTGCTTTCTTTGTTTGCCATGTTTCCTTTTCAAGATGGAGTAAGAGATTGAAAATTTCCCCCTTTTTTTATAAAAATAAAAAAGGTAGAAAACATATTTAGCAAAATAAGTACCTGAGAGTTATTTATGGTTTGTGATATGGCCAAAGTAAGCTTGGAGGTGATATCATTATGTGTGAGAGTATAAACTCTCGGCAGGTTCCCTGGATGCTTCTTCTCATCCACTCCCAAAGGCAGAACTTTTAACTTTGATGCCTCAAAAACTGCTGGTCCAAACAGTCTTGCCACCTGCAGATTCCACCAAACCCATAAATTAATCAACATGAACTAAAATTCTTTGAAAAACTTTGATTGAATTTAAAGGGAAAAAGAGAAAAGAAATTTACAGGAACAGTAGCTTGATTCTTTTTCTTGGATCTTCCTCTGGACAGAAAGAGAGATCTTTGCTGCCCAAAAACAGAGGATTTTGGGTTTGGAGGGAGCATGCTAGTAACACTGGTAATCAAACTAGCCATCTTCTTATTCTCCTTCTTTTAGAGAACAGATTGGACCTCCAAATTAACCACCCAAAAATAGCAGTAAGAGAGAAGGAATCACAAGTAAAGAAAGATAATTATAGCAAGACTTTAATTAAGCGGTGCCAGGTTTCCTTGCGGAGAAAGTTTGCTGTATAAGTAAGAAAAAAAGGAGAATTAAGTGGGACGTTAGGATTGGCCTCAGGTAGGTGATATCCGCACACTCTCTTGAGCGGTGACTGGTAAGGGCACACGCCCCCCACACTCTCTCGAAAAGTCGTAATTTTATATGAAAAAATGATTTAAAGATGATTGTTTTAAGAAAAAA